AGATTGTGAACTCAACTGAGATAAAGTATTCTTAATTTAAAGTACGCCGAATCTACGTTAGTAAGTATTGCAGGTGCAAATTCTTTCATTCTCGTGTTGAAACTGTGTTGTAACGGGTCTAGAGGCGGTATACTTAAGAGGCACAAACAGCGGTGTTAACAAAATAATAAGCTAGAAGTTTTCATCATTTCGTCGACACCCTGGAAATATATTGTGTCAAATGAAAATCATGCTCCATAATAACTTCATCAATCACCATATTTTTTCCCGGCCATTTCACTTGTTAACAATATATATCCCTGGAAGAGTGTAATATGATTATGACTAGGACGTGTTCTACTATATTTCGATAACCATTATGTAGGTCACAAGTGGCGTATATTATGAGGCGCTCATGGGGTATGTGTCCCCAATAGGTGTCGTAGTCGAGTGGTTTAATCAATTGACTGGAAATGCAAAGGTTGTGGGTTCGAGACCCGGTACGGTACTTATTCCCATGGGCAAGGCATTTTATCTATATTGCTCCTCTCCACCCGGTTGTTAATTGGGTACCAGGTAGGATGTGAACGTCATTATGGTTGGATAAGCATGTGCGCGCCCGTATAAAGGTGACTTGGCTAACAACAAATCAGAAATGTCTATTTTCCCTAATGAAAATTGAAGATCATACATACATCCTCAATATAAGTATTGCCATTATGTGTCTAAACAACCCCTTTATGTGAAAATCTTTATTGTCATCAATAACTAAGAAAATAATACTCTATGAAATTTCTGTTCAGAGCAAATTGGAGCAGACCTCGCAAAATACGTCAGTGATGCCAATTTGTGTTTCACTGATGACTTTAAAAATATATAACTTTCCTACTTTTAATCATTACATTGCTCAAACTTTCACTAATTTGTTTCTCTCGTTTTCTGCTTTTATGAATACCAGCTAATTATTGGGTTGGACTTCCCCTTTGAAAGAATTGTCCGCTTTTTTCTCGCTACCCTGCCACGCCCAGTCATTTATCAATACATTATCCTGTACACTTCTCAATCCGTATTCCATCCAAATGGTTGGCCTGCCCCGCCCCCCCCCCCCCCCAATGTCGGAAGAGTGTCCTAGACCTTCGGGTATGTTCGAAATGTAACCAGGGACTATTCCCTGATGTAACAGATAAAACGCAACACGCTTTTTCGTCTGAGTTTACCCCGTCACTTCCAATCCTCTACCGATACATCACCATGCTGGGTCTACTCACACCTGGTGTACTTTACGCTTCCAAACCACCGCAGCGACACTGCAAATGTGAATGGTGAATGACCAGTTTGAGATTGTATGAACAGTGTTGAGAAGAAATTAAATTGCAGTACGTGTCTCGAAGAAAATAGGGCGGGTTTTACGTGAACAAGTTTCGAGATACATGATGAAGAAAAAGAGAAGTGCACCAAGGGACCACTTCGCATCAGATACTTGCTCAACATGACTTGCAGGCATCACACACAAGTATTCTTCAGTTTGGTTTCATGTCGTACTCATTATACTGTCAGACATCTCAACCGTGGTGATTTGCATTTACCCGGTTTTGGAGGCTCTGAAGAACTTGACGATAAACACATGGGATTGGCTTTCAAGTAGCTTTCCCGTATACGACTGATCTTAACAGAAGTTGGCAACCACACGAACGAACGAAAATGGCAGGCCTACGTGATTTCTACCTTAATTTCTGTTATTACCGATTCCTAATTAGTATGACCCAGTTTAATTCCCTGAATAGGTCTAAAACGTATATCTTTGTACAGTACGTGGTGTTCTTTTAATGTCTGTTTCTAAATATAAATATTTTTACATCGCATCCTGTATTTTCCATGTAAACCACAGGCAAAGGCTTGAGATGTTGATAAAGGTTGAACAAATAATGAATATCTTTATGTAAATGATCTGTAGTAATTTATTTAGGGGATGTATAGCTTTATTTAGAAGTGGATTAATTATTGTTCATATTGGACAAAGGCAAGATCAAAATGGAAATATCTGGGTTGTTTAGAAAGAGGAGATTATAGCGTGGGCCTCCTTTTGGTCTATTTTTTTTTTTGGGGGGGAGGGGGGGGGGGGGGGGGGGTAGCATGAACACTTTCACATTTTGTATTATATATTTAGTAAGGATACTCTTAACCGTAACAGCGTGTATATTTTTTGTAGACATGACTGAGGGTTGTAATGGCGCATTGCACTAACTGCACTGAGGGGACATTTAATGCTCCTCCATCATGTACTGCCAACTGTTATCTCATATCTTTTTAACATTTTCTAAACGAACGTTGACACAGGTAGGGTTTTGGACGAGCTTATTGAAAATCACCGGAGGCGTACGCTGTCTCCTTTCATGTAATACGTTGAAACGCCAACAGATGATGACATGAATGCTAGTTGAACTTTGTATATTTATATACCTGGGAGCTTTTTAAACGCAACAAAGGCAGTGAAATCCGGAAAGCGACTGGGGATATCGAACACGTCTCATGTTACAAAAGCTTCTTTTTTCAATCCAGGGAAAAACAATGTCAACCACTGAGTCCATGACGGACTTCTTAAATAAATCACGGCGCCCCTTTTGTCACGACGAAAGAAAACGATTTGATAATTTAGAAAGCGCTAGGTAAACAGTGAAAAAAACACTGTAAAAGGAACATTGTAAAAAGGAACATTGTAACAAGAAGAAAACCTTATCATTCTGTTGAAAATCTAAATCCAATTTATATATGAAAACTTCATTATGAATAATTGATGTCTGATTGTATCCTAAGTACAGAACCTTGGGGCCTAGTATTTTTTATTATAACTAATTGTATAGTGCTCGGCCTCGAATCATGTAACAGCATACTGTCACAAGAAAACAGGAAATTTCCTTTACAACACAATAATGGTGTCGTTTTCATTTCACGTCAAGGTATATTAGTTCTTAATTTGCGATTCAAGGTTCTCACAACTTTCATAGTATTGAACTATTGATCACGTGTCTTTTTTAATATCCTGTCATTATTCCGCTCGAGTTGTTTGTACTTTTTCATCTAGATTTCATATCATGTAACTTACCGTTGGTCGCCTACTGATGAACAATTAAACGTTGATTTTAAGTACTGTAAATATGATAGTAATTACAATTCTCTGATATTGTTTCCATGTATTTCTGACGTGATGTTTTCATATTCGTTGAGATATGTTTTGCTTTTCAGTAGGATCACTTTTTATTTCCGTGTTTAATGATTACAGAAAATTCTTTCACGTTATTAATTACCACGATTCAAGATTAATTATTTCCGTATAACATAAACCCCCACTGTACTACTTGTAGCTACTCGTTCTCTCTATATAGAAAACTTCTCCAATCGGTGCCTGTTGGTCCCACATGATCCTCTTTTCTTATGTTAATTGAGAGCTGAGTTGATGAGATAGCCACCTGTCAGTGACCTCGCTAGGTGGTCTAATCCCTTCTAGCCAAACTAGTAAAGACGGCATTTAAAGAAAGGTTAACGTTTTTAAAAATGTATTATATACTTTGTTTATGTTTTTGCAAGGAATTTAAATAAAATCAACAAAAATTTAAAAATAAAAAAATTTCAAACGCTTCCTGGTTTTGATGGATTCCTACATCCTCTTATAAAAAAAAATGGTGGATACGCCTCCGAAGTAGACTTGAACTCTGACATATATTTGGACTGATCTTATATTGATTCGTCCCCCCCCCCCCCCCCGCCCCACTGTCAGAATACCAACGTCATTACCCAGCATCCTCCGGCTCTATATTACGAGGGAGGAAACGTACGGGCGGATTTTCACTTCAAAATCTCAAGAATCAGCAAACAAATTGAGCTGCTCGCCGATTATTCGGTCAAAAAACCTATATCTTGAGGGGCTGCGGTCTTATCTCCTATGAATTAAATAGGTCAACATTCTCGGGGAAATACAGCATAGAAGGATTGGATTATGAAATAGCACGAGGGGCTTAAAAGCACTAAGATATATATTGCGTTTAGGGGGATGAAATTGAGACATTTTTTTTATCGGATCATCTCAGGTGAGAAGCAGAAATCTCACACCTACAGGCGACAAGAATTGATCAACGATCGGCATCGTAATAAATCTAAATTGGCAGGGCACAGCGCATCGACCATGTTGATCAGAATGTTCTGCAATTACCGGAAGCTTTTGATCATTTGGGTAAATTTATTTTGTTACGATTTGATTCCAAGATTATCATTGGAGATTTTAAATTTGAGTTTGCTCGTAATCAGTCGAGTCAGAATAACGATGAGAAGAATGACATCCTATAATGAATGCCACAAAATCAGGTTTATCCGAACGGTCATTAATGAGGTAATCACTGTACATTCTTATTCGAAACAAAGTATACATTGTGTTATAATACTATATATATATATATATATATATATATATATATATATATATATATTTAAATTAGGTAAAATCACTGAGGGTAGTTCTAAATGGAAGTACAGTTTCTCGGCTCTGTACGTGACCAAAATGATATAGGTTTCAATAAAATAAATAATAAACCTGTTTCTCGGCTCTGTACGTGACCAAAATGATATAGGTTTCAATAAAATAAATAATAAACCTTCCTGTCAAGCAAACATCACTTAGTCGATATTAGTACCGCACGAGAAAAAAAAGTATGATTACAAGGACATTAACAAATTGGCGGTACAGTTAAACCTGCTTTAGTGACCACCTGTCTACAAAGACAACATTTGGTCGCTATAGACAGGTTTAATTCAATATACCATCTACCCGCACTCGGGTGATTTGACAACAATAGGGACTTTTAGATTCTGCACGACGAGAACGTGGACTGCCCTTTTAAGGCAATGTGACGTCCTTTAAGGCACTGGCAGTGACGTCACATTGCCTTAAAAGGGCAGTCCGCGTTCTCGTCGTGCAGAATCTAAAAGTCCCTAATATCAGCAACAACACCAACAACAACTACATTTACCTCTTGCCGTTGGTTTGCTCAGTAAAGCTGAAACGATATCATCGTAATAAGAACCGATCCCGTCTCTGACGTCATGAGGGAACACCTGCGTGGTTGCTAAGCAGATGCTGCTCGCCTTGACCAAGCGCGTCAGCTCCTCTACGGCGCGCACCGCGTAGTTGGACGAGTCGTGTACGATGGATACATAAGTCCAGTTGAAGCGATGCAGGAAATCCAGCATGGCCATTGCTTGGTAGCGGTCGGGAGGGACCGTTCTGAAGAGATAGGGGAAGCGGTCCTTGTTGCTTAGGTCGTTGATGGTTGACCAGTATGCCACCTGAAACACAAGAATATGTATACACGCCATAAGTATGGAAATACTAACAGATAGGACAGACAATCATTAAAGTGATCAGTAAATTCAGTATTCGAACCATTTTAATCTTGTATTTCATTATTGTGCTCAAGAATTGAAATCAGAATGCAAGCTGTACACACTATGAATATGACGGACAGAGAAAGAGGACAAAATTTAAGTTCCTCATTCTACTCAACAATTGCTGTGGTAGATAAAGGAACATCCCTTCACTGCTATTATGTAAAAATGTGTAAAACAGGTGTCACAAGCATATTCACCTGTTCACAAATAATATTTTGTCCTCTTTCTTTGTCCGTCATGTTCATAGTGACAACCTACATCTGCTGATGCAATGTCGGTAAAATACCGCGCAACCATGAGTCATGAAACTATAGTCTTTCTGTGAACGATGCACTCTTAAAGGAGTTGGGTGAATTTTCTACGCATGTTTACTATACAGAAGCGAACATGTTTGTTGGGCAAAATAAAAGATGAAATAGACGGACACACTTCTCAGGATATACCATACCACGTGAATGCCATTTTACTGTGTTACCCAACACGAAGAACCTCTTTGGCGACACGTAATGAGTTGGTTGCTATTTATTATGTGTTCGCATTCAACGCTAGAATCAAACTATTCTCATAGTTACGTTTTATTTTCCTGGATATAAAATAGATAGATGTCAACAAAGTGATTCAAAATACTTCTCAAATTTTCCTTATCTTGTTCATAGTAAAGAAATGAAATAGATGGCCTAGATGTCAACATAGTGATTCGAAATACTTCTCGAATTTTCCTCCCTTGTCCATAATAAAGAAATGTATTTTTGTTACTAGTTGTATAGTGCTTGATAAGAAAAAAGGGAATCTTTTTCTGGGTTGAAACGGAGGCGACCTATTTGTTCTCGGGTGTTTTTTTAAAAGCAAGATTGAACCGTAAAAGTACGAATCCCTTCCATGACGCTAACTGCAACACCTCGTGTTTATTCAGGCCAGCATCAAACCTTTCTCGAAAGCGTGCCTCTACACTTTCACCCTCTATCGCTAATAATCTCTCCATAACGACCACTCCTCAGCATCCATATTCATATTCCAGAGCTTGATCTACTCTCCAGAGCGTTTGTTTGTCATGGCTCTCCGAACCAACCGAAATCCGAGAGAAAAATCTCAACGATAATGTTTTCCTGGCTCGTGACCCTTTCTGAAGATGTCTTGACCGAGTTCCTAATGAACCTGAAATGGGACACCTTTCTCAAAATCTTTCAGGATTGAGCCATCTCAAAAGCTAATAATGAACGGCATAGAGTAGAGTCATAAGTTTTTCAGGTTCCATCGCCGTAAACAAGTTGATCTTCATAAATCCTATGCTTAGTGTGCGTTGACCCATCGTCAGATCTTAAAGGGAAACATAGGAAGGTAAATGGATGATCCAAGGGAGGGGGTGGGGGTACAGTAAAATCCAACATGCTTGATTAAAAAAAGAATCTTACATGAGGTTGTGTTCTGCTATATATTTAATTTAAGGCAAACACGGCAACTTAAAGAGGGGAAACTCGTTTTGTTTTACTTATCAGATATTTCAGATAAAAAGACAGTCACCTCTGACAACCCCTGAGAACACCCGAATCCTTTGCTTGACAGAGATATCCTTCGAACCCCCCCCCCCCCTCCCCCTCGAAAGATAATCTTGGATCCGACTCTTAATATTAAAGCAAATGAAATATAGCGAAGAAATGTAATAAAGGGGATATTTCAAAACATCCCAAGGAGAGAAAATTATCTGTAATGACGAGAGAGGCGCCTCTGTGCCACACCTTTGGTTACGCGAATACACACAATACCTAGGTACAAAGGAGTCGGAGTAGGAATGAAGAAACCAATGCATGTGGCGGAATAACTCAAGCCCAGAGGCGGTGCGAAAGTACACTACTACTACTTTAACGTAGCTAAAAATTGGCCAAAAACGACCGGACTTTCATCCCATTGGTTAATGTCTAGTCTCTTTCAACGAGTCTGGTATAATATGCTGACTGCTAAATTGCCAGATACCCGGAAATTGCAATACACGAAACTGATTATGCTTACTAATATGCGTCCCGCATCTTGAACCATCGTTATAGAGTAAGTTCTAATCGTTATCGTAATACAAAAATCAGACACCTTGTTTGCTTAATGTTTAGAATTAGACGTTGTGTCAATACAACATTCATAACCACTGAAACCTGAGAGCAAACGCTTGAAATTTCCACTTGGGAATTAGAAAGGGAAACACAATACTCCCTGCCCCCCAAACCACCACTCGATTTCCTAATGATGATTACTGTCTCACCGGCGGCTAACCTCTAAAACTTTCCTTCAACTCATCTCATCATCTTGTAAATGATGTTTTGGTCTTCGTTTTACCGCAGTTCATCAGGCGGGCAGACAGTTTTCATGACTTAAATATTCTGCTTGCGAACGAAGAGAGCACTTTAAGGATTAGTGTACTTTTAGGATCAGGAGGCACATGTATTTTAAGAAAAGCAACGAACAACTAACTTCTTCCCGCAGAAGTGGTTTAAGATATCAAAAGAGAAACATGACCAGACAATATATTCCTTTAGATTAGCATGACTAAAAGGGAGATCAGACGAATTGTTCTTGTGAAATAAAGAAGAAAAGTGTCCCTTTATTGAAAAATTGTTATGACGTTCAATATTTAAAAAGATCGAACAGATTCCCCCTCCCCCACTTAATCCTCTAAAAGCTAATGTGCATAATACATCACTTAAAGGGAGAGTTGAGTTCTGTTTTCAGACCGCAAATGCCTTCAAAGTGCATGGTTATTGCTCTTATTCTTATCTATGACATTTAAAGTGCCCTTTTAGAACCTAACATTGCTATGAAGGTAATTTTAGACCCCAAAATGTGTGAAATTTAGCCAGTTACGATCATACCAATTCAGCTCCACTTAAAAAAAAACACGGTGACCGTTAATTATTTAATTAAAATAAAACAATACATGAGTCGGCTAATTGTGACTAATATAAACAACAAGAAATTGCCAACCAAAAAGCCAACATGGACATTGGCTGAAATACAACGTAAAAGGCGTTATTTCGTGTTTTTCAACGGTTTTCTCAATTTTTTCAAAATATCTAATATTTATGGTGGTACACAAGTATTAGAAATCGTTATATTTCAGCCGTCTCTGAACCGATTTTGATCAAAGAAAGATGATTTTGTCATTTAAATATTATGTTCTTTCAAATTTGACACTCAGTTTTTCATTATCTCCAAAATTATTTTGTGGAGCGCCCTCTGCAACAGAACTCAACTATCCCTTTAAATGGATATGCGCTCAGACAATATGTGGCTTCCACAGAGAACTTTGACGTCCAAAGCTTAAAGAAGACTTCGATTTGAAATTTTTTCGTAACGATGAACATGTGGGAACTTTCCCCCTTTCCAGTGAACTCCTACTACGAAGACAAATAAGGCAGTTTTATTGGCATTCTACATTTTTTTTCTAGGTTGAAATTTGTTACATCTACATTGGCCAGACTCTTTTCAAAACCATCTGGAGTTATGACTGTTTGCAGTCTGACGGCTGATTGTGTAGCTCCAAAAGATCTGATGAATAACAGGTGTTTGAACCCGAATGAGCTGGAAAGTTTTTAGGCCTTTAATAAATTATATGGAGCGCCAACATTATGAGGACGATAGCAGAGACTTTCACAAAATCAACCTAAGATACTTTCAATAGCCACGTGAGTCGCTTTTTTCATAATCCAAACATGATTTCTATAGTTAATACTATAATAGTGTATTAAAAGTGCCCCGAGTTAAATTCTCGAAAGTCTTTGCGATTGGCTTCAGTTAAAGGTACTATGTCCCTTTTGCAGCCAACCATCAAACCCGTTTACTTGCTAGATTTCACTGCCAGACACTATTGAGTGACTGACTGGCTTTTTTCTTCTTTGGTAATAACATACATGAAAAGAGTTGTAAAGGGTACATGAGCATTTGTCTACATCAATAACCCACTTCTTGTGATGGCCAAGATTAAACTGATTGAATCTTTGCGCAGCATAAAACGTATGACCATTCGGTACAATAATGTCTGAAAATCAACACTATTACTTTTGGGCTCTATAGCCCTAAAGTCGATTTGACAACTAATAGTTGTTATTTTCCCACTTGAAGACATTTTCAAGCCCCAACTTTTTTTAGGGAAGTTCTAAATTAGTATTATCTTTCCAATGCAGTTGGAATTTAAACTTTTTCATTTTTTTGGCCTGCAAATGGGACATAGTACCTTTAAATGAACAAGCAAAATTAGTCAATTTCATGACTGGATTGATTTAGTTTACTCATTTAATGAGAGCAATCTGAGCAGAAGATTTTCACTTGAGGCTCTTTAAAATCCGTGGATTAAATTAAATTAGGCTTAAATTGATTCGTCTTTATAATTGTATGGACCAATGAATAATTTATCCTGTTTACACATACATCTAAATGTTTCGGCATAGAACAGTAAGTTGGTGAATTTAGGATGATTTCAGGTTGTGTGTGAATGCGGCATTTCATCTCCCGTATGTGAAAGACACATTCAACTTCACTCTTATTCATCTCACGGTTTTTCTTTACCTACCAAGAGCTCATCGAAATGGTTCAGCATCAAACAGTTGGTGACTTAAGGATGGTATCAGATTGTGTGTGAATGCGTCATCTCATCTCCCGTATGTGAAAGACACATTCAACTTCACTCTTATTCATCTCACGTTTTTTCTTTACCTACCAAGAGCTCATCGAAATGGTTCAGCATCAAACAGTTGGTGACTTAAGGATGATATCAGATTGTCTGTGAATGTGGCATCGCCCGTATGTGAAAGTCACTTGCAACTTCACTGTTTATTCATCTCACGTTTTCTCTTCACCTACCAACGGCTCATCGAAATGGTTTGGCATCGAACAGTTGGTGACTTAAGGATGAT